AGGTTTGATTATTTACAAAGATTACACTGACACACAAAATGAGATAAATACAGTATTTTGTTAAAATTATAAAGATGATTAAGAATGCTATGATTTTTTTTGTAGTTTTCTCCATCAGATAACTGAAATTCTGCTGTATAAAATTTTAAACGTAAAAAAGGAGGTCAAGTACTTGGGCATCTTTCATAACACTGACTTAGTTTGGAAGCCAGAGGCCCATCCCATGAAGCCAGCTAAACGTAGCTTAATTACTTCCAGTCTATCCGTTTTACCCAATCCTCAACAATGGTAATCCAGATCAGCAGTACCACGACACTGGTTATCAACCCGCTAACTCAATCCAGCTTGAATTGATCACAATCTGTTTACATGCACATCTAAAAAGACGGGTTTTTTGGTAGCAGACCAATCACGATCATAAGCGCTGAAGGGAGAGCACCATATTTCTCCTGTGAGGAACAAACCACTGATCTCTATTTATTCACTGGACTGCTGATAGACCGAAAAAACTGAAGTCACCTGCCACCATCTTGGTACTGTACTTCCCAGTTTCACAATTAATGTTGTAATTACTATGTAATTACCATAACAATGTAATCAATACATGTACATTGATGTACATAATCAATTTAGCACTTTTGGCACTTCATCATATAGTGTGAGTGCGTTTGTAATATTCTTAATATCTGACTATAGTGTTATTGGGATCCATTAACACACTAAAATGGATTTGTATAATACAATATAGTACATGATTTATAGACGTCATTGACTTCATACGGAATATGCATTGTGATGTGCCTATTTCTTGCTATAAATTACAGCAATCTACTTATGCTATGAAACAGCAAGTGTGTGTCAAAGTAATGGCTTTATCTTTATTTTAAAGGTCTCAAACCCCCCTGAAAATTAGAAAATCATTGTTGTTCTATCTATGCTGTAGCGCACATATTGTTTACATTCCAACTGGTCTAAAAAGGGAGTGCCAATATAGCGGCTGGTGAGTTCGTACTACCAACGGTTTATTAACAATCCAGTGCCTATCATTCCCATAGAAAGATGGATAGCTTCTCTTTCTGATGTACCAGTGATTATTACAAGCAGCAAAATCAATTTTTGAGTTTTGTCTTTATCAATGTCTGGGTATTGACAGTTTTTTTTAAATGGTTAATTCACTGATTTTACTGCATAGTTTGTGCTTCGAGACGTGTAGGTCTCTTAGATTTTAATTTTAATTCAGCTGTGATTCTGGCTCTGCATCTGAGCTGGTTGGTACAGAAGAGGAGCTCAACATTTAAATGTACGTTCTGTCAAATTTAACACCTTATAATACTAACATGTCTAGCATAAACACTGTTGCTGTTTAGTGTTTGTTTTTGTTTTTTTGAAAAAGCTCTGTATGTCTACTGGCTTTTTCTGTGGCATCTTAACCAACTCATCTCCTAATTTCAAAATAAAATGCTAAGAAGCTGCATGTTTAAATTTACTGCTACTATGTGTTGTCTCATCTATACTATGTACACAGTGAAGAACCTCAATCAATCATATTATATCTATAAAATGCCAGATCCAGGGCCATAGAGATAGGAGTCTTACCTACATGGTTCTGGACAGAAACAGCGATGTTACACCAGGTAGGTGGAACTCAGCAGCAGCAGCAGAGAATGAAAAAAGGCAGACTGAAAAAGCTTTGAAGTCAGACAACTGCACCCGCCTCCAGTATCTGTTGGCTAAATTAAATGAACGGAAATGTAAATAAGTGCAAATTATTGGTTTGGGAGTGTCCCCGCCAGGCCAAAGGTGGTGGGGACATGTCGAACCAGTCTTTCAAAACGTATGCCTGTGTATTTTTTATGTATTTATTTTTAAGAACAGGGCAAATATGTGATTTCATGTCAACCCAGAGAACAGAGTTTGTTAGGAAAATAACATTGCCGACGGAAATCACTGTGGGAAACATTATGGAATCACTCAAAGCCCCCATTTGAAGCAAGGAGAATGTGGGAAGATTTCAACAAGTTTTACATTTCTATCAGTTTCTCATGTTTTTTTTTTTTTTTTTTAGAATGACAATATTCCTGTTAAAAGTTAAACTCATACCAGTCTCCTACACATCCCCAAAGTTGCATCATGTGAAAACTTAATCTAAAGTAACATTTCAAATGTTGCAACTGACAGCTACAGTCATGCACAGGGTGTGTGTCTCTGTTACCATAGAAACAAATGGTTTCCTTTTCCTGTGGAGAGAAGAGAGCGTCCTATTTCTTTTATACCCTTCACTTTTTAACAAATCGCCCTTCACAGCTGTAATTATGACTTCATTTGGGATGACACTAGATAGTGAAGCGGTAGAGCATATTCCTGGTTTGGGATTGGACCGCTGAGGTCAGCATCCGGAGGCATCAAAGTGACAGAAAGGGCACTGGCGCCATCATTTGGCCTAAATATGTAGTGCCATCAAAAATGGCAACAACTTATACACTGCATTTTCCAAAATAAAATGCAATAAATTGTATTTTTTAGAGAAGGGTTCATTTACTTGACCGCCTTAATTGGACCTCAGCTCTCCCACAGCAAAAATAGCACACATCAGGCCCCCATCTGTTTCCAAGATACTTACCGA